ATAACAATTCGGGTGTTTTCCCCTGAGTAACAATTCTGTGGCCCTAACTAACGTTTCTGGGGCCCCTTTAATAACAATTCTCTGGAAACTCATAACAATTCGGGTCTGTCCCTGATAAAAAATTCTTTTGGCCCTAACAAATGTTTCTGGGGCCCAAAAAAGTAAAAATTTTCTTTTTTTGCACTCAAAACCCTTTTCTGCTGTCCCCTGAGAAAAAAAAATTCTGGGGCCCCCAAAGAAAAAATTCGTGGCCCCAGAAAACAATTTGTTTCTGCCCCCGGGAGAAACAATTCTGGGGGGCCCCTAACTAACTTTTCTGGGGCCCCTTAAGAAACATTTCTGGGGGCCCTCATTAACAATTCTGGTCTGTCCCGGAGTAACAATTCTTTTGGCCCAAAACAAACGTTTCGGGGGCCCCAAAGTTCCCAGTTCTGTGGCCCTCAGAAAACAATTCTGGTCTGCCCCCTGAGTAAAAAATTTCTGGGGCCCCAAACAAATGTTTTTTTGGGGCCCCAAAAAGGGAAAAAAACAATTTCTGGCACCAGTAACATTCTGTTCTGTCCCATGAGTAAACAATTCTGTGCGTCCCTAATAGGCGTTTCCTATTGAGCCCTAAGTAACGTTTCTGTGGCCCTAATTAACAGTGTTCTGGCACTCAGTAAACAAATCTGTCCCTGTCCCTAGTAACAATTCCTGTGGCCCCTAACTAGCGTTTCTTTGGCCCCTAAGTAACCGAAAAAATTAAAAAGAAAAAAAAAAAAAAAAAAAAAGATTCTGGTGCCCATCATTAACAATTCTGTTCCCTGAGTAATTCTTCTCTGTTCCCTAAGTAACTGGTTTCTGGTGGCCGTCTTAAACTCTGTCCCGAATACAGAGCGGCGGTCTGCCTACTCATGAATGACAGGATGCGCAAATGAGAAGAATTCTCTAAAATGGCCAGCTATTTATAAGCTTCCGACCCATCTACAACAGTAGCTGGCTGCCTCTGGCTAGCTGATTGGCTAACTGCTGATTCACGACTATTAATGGAATGCATTATGGGTCATCGACCGCGCATGACTAGGATCTGCGCGCCTTCCCAGACATCCCCGCATTCCGTCGCCGGCACATGTATCCGCTCGCCATTTTAAGGATAACACAATTTCGATTCGCCGGCGTCCCAGAAAGTACGCTATTTTTCGGATATCGGGATACGGAAAATTTTCCGAATGATTCTCGAACTCGACAATTCCACTTCGAGCACTTCTTTCGATTACGCTCATCTCAACTAACAAGTAATGATAAGCCGATCATAGCAGAGCTGCAAGTGGGG